ACATCAAGAATTGGAAAATCTGGCACAGAAGGCTAACAGAGAAAAGCAAAAGTAAAGGCAAAAACAAAAACAGATACAATCAAAAACAAACCTGCAGTTTTCTCTCATATGCAGAAGCTAGAGTAAAATAAAGAAAAGGGAGAGGGAAGGATAAGATTACAAAAGAACCAATCAAATACAAATTAATACATGAAGGAAAGGAAGCCTTATAGAGTGGTGGAAGGAGGGGAGCGAGAAGGGAGGATGGGAGGGAAAAGGGAGGATCATGAACTAAATCGATTTCCATGCATGTATGAGTCTATCAGGACAAATCCAACTACTATGTGTAACCATAAAGCTTTAATAAAATAAATAAATAAAAGAAAAAAATTTTAAAGCCTGTGGTTCCAATGCAAAGCTTTAAATAGAATGGTAAAGTTAACTTAATGTATAGCCCAAAACCAAGACAACTTTGACAATCAAAGATAAAAATATATGATTAAAAGAATGAAGAATGCCAGGGCTGGGGTTGTGGCTCAGCGGTAGAGCGCTCGCCGAACATATTACTAACCCTGGGTTCGATCCTCAGCACCACATAAAAATAAATAAATAAAGATATTGAGTCCAACTACAACTAAAAAATAAATATTTTTTTAAAAAGAAGAATGTTATTAAAATAAACATCAACAATGGACTTCATGGGAATATACCCTCAAGGCAAAAAATGAATGGGATCTTCATGTATTTTCTTTCATTTCTTTATTGGTTACCTCCATTTTCCCAGGGCCTTCCACTGTATTCTTAAACTACCATGTACCCAAGACTATTTATTGAAGACCTACCATGTATCATATATAATGCCAGACATTTATACAATAATTAGTTGTGGTCCCTTACCATGACGAATTTACATTATTTAGAAAGGCAAAATAAATATAAATATGAGAAGTTAAATATAAAAACAACACAGAAAGGTCCAAATGAATATCACAGAGTAAAACCTTCAACAGTCCAGAGGGGAAAAGATTACTTGGAGCACCCTATTCATGAAAGAATTTATGTAAATAAGAAACATTTGCAATGGGCCTTTAAGAATTGGTGGGTTGAGGCTGAGATTTGAAAAGAGTTAAGAGAATGTCATTAAAGGCAGAAATACATAGGCTATCCTAAGTAGGGGGTTGGGATAGTGAAGGTGTTATAAGGACAGTGACTAATGATGGAGACCTATATTAAAAAGTAATGAAAACATAGAGCAAAACAAAGTAAGCCAAGAGTGAAATGTGAAAGGTGTGAATGCCACATAAAAGAATTTGAAAAATTTTTATAAGCAATCCAAAAGGTTTTTGAGCAAAAGAGTGACACGATACAAAATTTTAGAAATATTAAGCTGGTTGTTGATGCATATAATAAATGCTATACATCTTAATTAGATATGTGGTTATGGCCATAAAGAGACAAGCATACAAATGAAACATACTGATTATATTATAAGCAGGGTCAGACGGAGCAAAATAAACTTAAGAACAAAAAATTAGCCCAAGATTTCTTTGTTGGGAAAAAGTAAAGCATAACATACCACAGAAAAGACAGAAAGTCAGGCAAAGGCACAACTCCCAGGGTATGAAGAACTACCCTATTTTTACTTCCTTTATGATCATCACCATGTTTGTATGAAATCCAAAGTGCCTAAGCATAGAGTGGACTAAGTAATTGAATTAAAGGTGTAACCAGAGAAACTGCCAAAGTGATATATAAACAGTGGCCTTACAAAGTTAGAGAAAATGCAATTGCTTTAATGTGCTCAAAAAGTATTTGGAAAATGGAAGCCACATGTCATTAATTGAATTATTAATTCAGGAGAAAACAACAAAAAAATCACATTAGGAAAGCAATATGAATGAATTAATGAGAGAAAAAACTGGTTTTTGCCCAAGCTAAAACTATCACTTCCTTTCAATTTCAATATATAAAACTAAAAAGTAATCTCTTCTCTCATCTCCACAAAAAAGGCCACTTGATATTCTTACCTCCGTGCCTTAAAGTCTTCCTATATTGTCTTAATTTTCTCAAATGATTCATTAAATCAACCAGCTTCATTCTGTATAAATTTCAGTCTTACCTAATCTTTTTCACTTCTTAATCCCACTTTAAAACATTAATGATATGTTACAAATTTCCAGAAGTTGTCTTTAATAAAGTATGAATCCTTCACCTTGTGTTTTGCGGTCAACACATTACACACATTATCTCTTGGAACCCTCACAGAAGCAATGCACAACAGGTATTATCATCATCCATATGTTACAGAGAAGCAAACAAGCTGAGGGCCATACATTCATAACTGATAGAGCCAGGCCTGTAGTGCAAACTTACTAAGCCCAAATTCCATATTCTCTTTGTTCTATCACTGAATTTCATAATGTACCAGCAGGTGTATCTTACTACTCAAAATGTACATTGTTATTCTGTATTATGTATAAGTACACACGTTTTTAATAAAGTGCCTTGATGCCCAAAGTGCCTATTACAGGGCCACTTACTAAGACAACCAAATTATTTTTAGATGCTCATGATGAGAATTACCAGTGGATAAAAAGTCAAAAAGAAAATATAATGCTTGCAAAATTGTTGAGATTATACCAAAAACATTTTTGCCTTGATTTCTGCAATGCAACAACAAAGACAACATGGGTGATTTAAAGATATGTGAGCATCAAAGGGCAGAAGTAGGGCATTCCTACTCTCTTTAACTCTGCTAAGGCCTCAAATACTGATATAGTTCAGAGCATCTTATTACCAGGGAGACATAAATCAAAAGGAGTTCAGCAAGGAGCAATAAAACAGATTAGTGTCTGGAAGGACTGACTTTAAAGAAAGTTTTAAGAATTAAATCCAGGTAGTCTAGATTTTTTAAAAATCAGCTAACAGGAAATCTTTATTTGAAGCTAACATTCACACCAAAGACAAAAAAATATTTTGAAGAGAGATGTCTAAAACATGCAAATGAATCACTGTAAATATTTGGGAGAATATTTATTAAAAGAAAATTCGGGAGAAATTCCAGGCAAAAATTTATGGGACAGAACTCTCTCCTCAAGGAGTGGTAAAAACTACATTCTTAGAGATATTTAATATGAGGTTAGATGAAAAAAATTTTTAAAAAAGATTTAATAAGAAATGATCCTGCATTGGACCCTGAAGTTGCAAGAAGACAGAAGATGGCCTATTAGATGTTTTCTACTCCTGGTTTGTTTGCTTACTTTAATTCCATGAAGTTTTATGTGGCACAGCCTTCTGCCAATTTCTTTTCTCCTCATAATGCCCACTTTCTACTTCTACAAAGGGAAATAAATTGTATCCTTCATTTTAAGCAAATTTCATTGTTCTCAATGAATTGGTAATATAATCTTAGGTATGAAGTTGGGAGAAAAAGGCCAATTTCTAATTTATGAAGTTGTTTTTCCCCACAGCAATCCCAGAGGCTCTTACAAGATTTTCCACAAACTAAAGGGGAAGTAGTTTAAATGAATTCAAAGAAAAACTGTCCCATCAGGAAAATCATTAATATAGCCTTTCTTGTGTCCGTCTGATATTGAGCTGACAGTGACCCTGGGAGCTATAAGGCTCTGGGTCAAATTACCATTAGAGCTGCTGTTTAGGGTTATCTTTTTTCCTTTCAGTATTTTATGCTGAGTGACAGCAAAATCTACTTGCAATCCACATTTTTATGGCAATGACTTTTACCTTTGAAAAGATGTAGCCTTAAACACTTCCACTCTTTGGCAAATGTTATTTTAAAAAAAAAATACACTAAGTACTACTCATGCTTCAAACTCAAGAAGCCTCAGCCTTGCTGTCTCTATTCTGAACTTTTATAAAATGTTTCTCAGCCACTCTTTAAATAGATACCAATATTTCTCCAGAAGTCCCATTCAGTAAAATCCTAGAAACACAATGATATTTCCTTGTAGCTGGTGTGTAAGGACAAGATTTTTACAAAACTTAAAACCTGATCCTCTACCCTTAAAAAATAAAACTGTGGTTTACATAATTGTGAGAAGGGACAGCAGGAAAGAACCCTCCAAGAACCAACACTAATGCATCTTCTATCCAATTTTAACAGCATCAGTGGCTGGACACATGGATTCCCATCACACCTCTTTGAAAGAATGTCCCACTAGTCACACAGAATGCTGATAGATATTAACACCAAACCTTCTAAACAAAAATTTTTAAGTACCATTTTCATCTTTCCCTTAGTAAAAAATGAGACTGCTCAAACCTAAAAAGACCGGCCTCTCACGTGGAATAGAATTTGTAGTTTTCAAAGCCCTTCTAACACCAAACTCATCTGACTCTGGCAGGAAAGAAGGCTGACATTTGCGGTGTGGTTTTTTTTTTTTTTTTTTTTTTTTTTTCAGCTAAGGGAGAAAATAGGACTCTAAGATTAGGCTCTTTGAAGGGCAGAGAATAATCCAGTACTGCGGTTTTCAAACCTTCCTCAAAAAGGGGTGAGTGTAAAAGGCAAAGCATTGCTCCAGAAAACTTTAGAGTGGGTTCTAAAAAGACTAAATCTCTGTATCCTCATTCCAGGAAGGCAAGAAATAAGAAAAACAAAAAGGCACGTGTGCCTAGAATTTAGGGAATGAATTATGACTCTGACAATTCAGTAATCTGTGAACCTGTCTGAATTTTCTTAAGAAGGCTGCTGCACTTTCTCCCCCCAGATCCAGAGCCTGCCTTAAGTTTTAGTTATCAGCTTCTGGCCTTGGAGATTGCGCCCAGCAAAAGCCAGGCAGCTGGTACTAGGACGACCTGGAGATCCTCCTTTGCACAGTCAGGAGTCTCACACTGTGGGTGTCCCTGGCCTTCGACTTCCAGTTTTTCAGGGGACAGGCCGTCCTCCAAATCTGCCCCCTACATCCACACACACACACACACACACACACACACACCCCGGATGCTCAATTCCGACTCCCAAATTTCTCCCACCCTGCAAGAATGGGGACCAAGTTTCTCACCATCCTCATAGTTTTTGAGATAGTAATCCGGGCCCGGGCCCCCGCGGCTTTTCGCCGGGTTCCTCAGGTTCTGGAAGTGCAGGAAGTCCGTCCGTTTGCCCCCGAAGCGCAGAAAGGCGGGTGAAAGTCCCCGGGCCAGGGTCACCAGACGCTTGGAGCTGCAAGGGTAGAGAAAGAGAGGAAAGGATCCCAGGAGAAGGCTAGAGCGGGCATGGCACCAGCAAGGCCCTCTTCTCACTCCCTGAGGGAGACCTGGCGGGTTTTCTGTGCCCGCCCCAGCTCAGGGTCACACGGCCAGGGGCTGCTCCGCGGCGTCTTTTGCATGCGCCTGGCGCCCTAGTCCACTTTGCCCTCGGCCTCACAACTTCCCCATCTATGCCTCCGGTGCCCGGCTGTCCACTACGGCCCCTTCCCACCCGACACCTGGATGCCCAAGGTACTGATTTCCAAAGGGTTAGAGATTACATTTGCTTACAGTGTGTGTATGTGCCTAGAGGGACACTTGCTTGTACTGAGAACATGGGGCCAACGCTCAGTTGCCTGGCTTCTGCCACTGCCAGGAAAGCGCTCCAGACCTAGACGCGCAACCCACCAAACGCCAGCCCCCGACCTTTGCCAAACTTTCACACAGCAAGCCTGCGTCGCCTCCCCGGCCCCAGGAGCATGGGAATCTCTTAAGGTGAAACCTTGACTTTTTTCTCTCGGAGAAGGCCTAGCACCTGAGGTCAAGAGGATTCCGACTTTTTTAAGTGAAAATTTTGATTTTCCTTTTACATTATAACAACTTCATTGTTTCCCAAATCCCGGGGCGGAGAGATTCTCTGAGTAAATCCTTGCCTTTCCAGAACACGAGCGCGCGCGCACACCGTAAAAGCAATGTCTTTTTGGTCCCTGAGATAGCTCAGCCTGCAAGAAAGGTAACATTTTTCTTCAAACACCTTAATTTGGGCTCTTTTTTTCCTTCCCACTTGGTCAGTTTGGGAGTGCTGAGTAAAGAAGTTTGCAGAAAAGTGGAACTGCCGGTTGGGGGAAATTCGGTGGGGCACCACCAAAACAACAACATTTACATCTATTTAAGTTCAGGATTTCCACCAACAGGTTTTTAGAAACTAAACGCTGCTGTTTTAAGAAAGAGTAGGTGAGGAACCATGCAGATGCTGTTAACGAGAGTTCCAGGTCTGTAAATTATTTTTAAAGCTTTGCTGGCTACGGTTCTGAAAACTCCAAATCAAAATGCAGAAATTAAAGAGCATGATAAAGGAGGTGGACACAGGAGAGACTAAACGGAGAGTCGGCTTATAGAGAATTTTTGAGAAGAGACGTAACTAGCCTGAGAGTTTCGGTGGCAAGAAGGACGATTTGGCAGTGGACTCCAGGATCCAGTTCCAGGGCGCGCGCAGTTAGGGCGTCGCGTGAACCCGCTGCGGGCAGAGCAGAAGTACGCGCCAGTCCGGCCCCAAGGAAACGCGGCATTTCCAACCACCTTCCTCTAAGAAGCCTGTTCTACCAATGCAAATGCGCCCCTCCCGTCCGGGTTTCTTCCCGGAAAAGCTGCCTTCCAGTAGTTTTTCTACAACGGGCAAGTACTTGGGGAGAACGGGCTAATATTTTTTAAAGAAAAAAAGAAGGAAGAAAAGAAAACCCGGAGGAGTTTGCGCACCTGGAGGAGCGCAATGCAAGTGGGGCGTGCATTTCGGAAACCCTGCTGCACCCCATATTCTGATGATACACGCTCTACAGCACAAGAGCTTTCGAGGAGGAAGCCTGGCGGGGCAGAGCTGTTCCCGCCCTCCCACCATAAGCACCCGCAGGACCGAAACGGCCTCCGCTGCGGCGGCAACATCCACTCAGTCATCTGGCTTAGCTCCCCCCACGTGAAAGGAGCGCTCCACGTGGCGGCTCCAGCTACCTGCCGCGTCCGCAGACTCCGCCAAGGCCAGAGGAAGACGCCCGAAAGCTGAGGGGCGGACGCATCCGGAGAAACAAAACTCGAATTTCCGAAGCAGTGAAAAATACTCACGAAAGACCGGCAGCGGACACGGCCCTGAGGCAGAGGAATGGCATGGAGAACTCTCAGGACTCTGGTGGAGCCCACAGCTGAGGCTCCAATTTGGAGGGAATTTTTTAAAAAATCAACACTTGGATTTGATATTTTAGATGATTTATTTATTCTACTTTTCTTTTCTTTTTTTTTTTTTAATACTGCAACTTTGTCCCTGATGGGAAACGACTGCGGTTGCTTAACTGCTTAATAGTAATAACCGGGAAGAGTGAGAGCCCAGTTAGATTCCAAGGGGATCACACTCTCCCTTGTCGGCTAACCCACTGGTGCTGGTGCCGGTGCCGGGTTCAAACCTCCGAAACTTCCCCCGAGCATTTCTAGGACCCTTATCGCCCTTCTTATGTACGCTATGACCCACGAGAGGATTTTTTTTTTTTTTAACTATGAAGTTACTGCAGGAGACTGAAGGAGGGGGATCGGGGGTGGGGTGTGCGTTCTGTCTATAAAAAGCGCCTTGCAAAATCCTGAAGTCTGGAGATGACAGTGAAGGATATAAAATAAAATTTTAAAGCTATGATCCAACTTGCAATTGCTCAAGCCTCTCCTTAAATTCATTTTCTTTCTGGGAATGGGAGACAACTGACGAAGATCTTTCCGTGGAAAATTCCACTTTCGTGCAATTCCGGCTTGGAAAAACACACTCTCTCTCTCTCTCTCTCTCTCTCACACACACACACACACACACACACACACACACACACACCCATTCCTCTCAGGTCTTTGTTGCTCCAGATCTTTTCCTCGCTTTTGTAACTGCCCTGAACCTCTTGTTTCTTTTTCAGAAGGAGAAGGGGAGGCTAATTGTGGATATATGTAAGCACAACATTTTTTCAGTCATAACTGATAAGTTTCTGAAATGCCTTCTGCATTGCAAACATGTGCATCTTAATAGAAAACACTGCTTTTCTCAATCACTAGTTACAGCCTCACAGCAAATATTCCAGGAGGAGGAAAACCTCCTTTTTTCTCTTCTGAGAGAGATCCGCTTGACTTATTTTCTCCTTCTTCTTCTTCTTCTTCTTTTTTTTCCTTCTTCTTCTTCTTCCCCCTTTGAAGTGGAGGATAGAAAGAGAATGGGGGTGGGGGTTACTTAAAATTAAAAATGATCCATCGAAGCCCCTGCCTTACCTTAAGAAATCGAGCCAGCCATCATGAATGATGGAGGGATCCAGCTGGAGAGAGAGGAAGTTTTCATTGACTGTCCTGACTGGGTTCTTGGTGCTCACATCAAGAAGAATCAGGGTCTTTTCCTTCAAACCTGGAGCTCTGTCTACAGGCAAGGGTCTCCTGTCTCCAGCTTGGGAGGAAAGAGAGAGATGGAGCAACAGAGCCAAGTAGAGAGCCACCGGGGCTAGGCACGAGGGGGGGCGGGAGTTGCTGGAGGGCATGTCTTCAGGGAAGGCACAGAGCACCCTCATTAAATCCCTCTGATTTAAACCTCTCTCCCTACTGGGTCTCGCTGGTGACTAATTGTCCTTATCTAAAGTGTGTCTGTCTGCCTCCCCCCTCTTTTCCCTTCCTCCCCCCCCCCCCCATTCTCTTTCGCGCTTTCTCTCTCTCTCTCTCTTTTTTTCTTTTTTCTTTTTTTTTTTTCCTTCAGTGTTTTGGTGCTGGTGGAGCGAACTCACGCCCCTAGCCAGCCTTCTCAGCAACTCGTGCCAAGAGTACTCGTTCACCAGCACCGCCCCTTTAAGAGATTTCGACTGCAGACATTTTTTAACTTTTTAAAGGTGAGGGGTGGGGGGAGGCGGGAAGTAGGAGGAAGGGGTGGCGTTGTACCCTCCTGATTTAACCCTCCAGGGTCAGGAAAGAGGACGGTGGGACCGATGCAGTACAGTAGTAGTCTTGGGCACTGGGCGTCGGGACGTCTTTTTACTTCCCTTGCTGGGAGGCTTTGGAGAAAGCGGTTTAAGCATAAGCTCCTACCGCGCAAAGAGTTCGCACAGACTGCACGTCTGTTTGTCCTGACAGCATCAGGCATAGCATCCGATCCGGCCCTTCTCTCTGGGCTGAAGCAGCAAACGCAAGGGTTGTTAAGTTGCAAGGATTTGGGGGAGGCGACTGTGATTCCTGTCAAAGAACAGAGCACAGAGGGAAACTCCGTGACTAGGAGCCAGGACCTCCGCGACGAATGGGGCAGCCCCCACAGAAGTATCCTCTGACCTTGATATGGCAAAGGGTGGCCAGAGAGTAAAAACAGAATATCCAAGTCAAAGGGATTCTCTGTTCGGAGAAGGGAAGGAAAAAGAGAAAGAAAAACAACGCCCAATCTGTGCCATAGCTCTGCTGGGCTCTTCTTGCAGCCACCAAGAACTAACGGTTTTAAGGCCTTCAATATACTCTGGCTTTGATTAAGTCAAAGCGACCTGGACTGCACTAAGACAGGGCAGCTCTGCATACGTTTGAGACGCTCTCTGGCCATGCTATTTCGCTGCACAGGCAGATCTGCCCCTCCTTAAGGACGACCCTTGGGTTTTGCCTTTTCGCAGGGAAGTGAGTCTGTATTGTGCCAGAGAGGAACAGAAAGACGCTGCTACAGAGGCTTTAAACTCAGCCCCTAGTCAAAGCTGGTCCACAGGCAACTCCCAGATGCCAGAGACCAGCCCTGAACAGCGTGGTTCCCCCTCAGCGCGGAATTCCCATCCACAACAGCAGATTGCACTCTAGGTCCATCCTGCAACGTAGGCAAAAGGCCAGGCAGAGTTTGTGGTAGGCCCCACTTTCAGCTTCTTTCTGGAAAACAATAGGCCTTCTACTTGGCAGATGAAGAGAACTACTCTATGCAGTTATGAGTACACAGAAGCATCCCAGGGTCTCCTTGGTATCAAACACACAAACAAATTCGATAGGTTTTCCCCAGAGGTGGGTGTTCAAAGGGCAGTCTCAGAGTTCAGCAAACACTGTAATACCAACCTGTCTCCGTTTTCCCTCAACTAGATAGTATTATCAAATCTGAAAAGGGCTGAAGTAGATGACCTTCAGCTTACTCCCCGAGAAACCTCTACCAACCCAAGTACCCACGAAATCTAGAAGTTAATGTTTTATTGTGCCATGAGGACCTTCCAGAAGCATGACCACATGAAATGAGGTTAAAGGAGAAAGAAGCTCCAAGTCATAACTTAAAAGTGATTTTTAAAACCAAGCTGTAACAACATGTATTAGATGTTGGCTCCAGTTCTAATGCCTGCTTCCTTCAGTTCCTGAAAATTTCGAACATGCCCAGATCCTTTAAGATATGTGTATGTGTGTGTCTGTAGGTGTGGTATTTGGTGTAAGTTCCAGTAGAAACTTGCTAATTTTTAAATGCTTATTGAGAACCTCCCAGAGACGGTGACAGCCTGATGAGTAATAAATAACCTTTATTTTTGTATCAAACAAACCTGGGCACTTAGTAGGGACTCAATAAATATCTGTAAAATATATTAATGGGCAATCAACTCATGTTCAAAATACTGAAGTAATATACTGCTCTTAAGAATATGAAAAAAAAATACTTTTATTTGTCAGTAAATTGTTTTGGGACTCTGGTAATTTGTTTTCCCAGTTATTAGCATTTTCCTGGCCATCTACTTCAGAAATACTTATTTTGCAAGGCCATTAGTTTATTTGCTATGTTCAGAATTGAAACAAATTACATATTTTTAACAATGAGCCAGATTTTCCAAAGGCCAAAACACTCCCTGGCTTACAAGTGAATGCAATTTTACAAGCCACATTAATTGAGACCAGCAGAGATCATTAGAATGAAATAAATCACTTGCCCACTAGATGTCTATAACAAATGTTCCTCTCAAAAATACTTACTTCTGTGACTAAGGATGAACTTGAATATATAAGAACCTGCTTAATTACAAATATTCACAATTTTACTGACTCAACTACTCTAGAATATTTTGGTGCCTAGTTATTTTAACCTGTATTTAATGTTTACATCAGAACCTGTATATGGGATTGAAGTCAAAACCAACAAAACAAAATGTTTGTTTTCTTAATTACTGATGAAAACCATCTCTAGTCTAACCACTGAAATTCTATAGTCATATCCAACCTCAATACATCAGGGGATGTTTTAAGGAGTTCCAGATAGCCCTGGTTGATTTCAAGATGATCTGATTGGGCCTTTAATCTACTTTGGGTATAGATCTCCCAGCTACTCTTTGCATCTACTTCTCCCCCATCATGGTTTTTGTCTGTCATCTACCCCTAAATTAATGATTGTTAGTCATTTATATATTAGATTAGTGTGTTTACCCTATCTTCTGTGTGTTGGATAACAATAATCTCCTTCTCTGTTCTATCTTACATAATTTCCTAGGGGACAAGAATATAATGTCTGTATAAAATATGAACTGTTAAGAAATAGATATGTTGATATCTCCTTAGAGACAATCTGCTTAATTTTTTAATGATCTGTATAGGTTGCTTTGACATCTAGGAGACTAGATTCTCAGAACTGAAAGAAAACTTTAACTGTTTCACTGTTTTCTAGATTCTGGGGCTTCAAAATAAGTATTAGTTAATGGGAGAAACATACTAGTTTGCCAACTTTTTATTTTGTCTAGTAAGGACCTTAAAAAAAATCTATCAACTACTTATCACTATCATTTTCAAAAAAAAAAAACCAGTTTACATTTTAAAAAAAGCTGAAAAGCTACATCCAAATAGAGAGCAAGTGTTAAAACCAAACAAATTTAGCTTTATTCAAAAAATCACTATATTATCATTTTATCTGACAAGTGGAACTGTATCAGTGACCAACATGGGTACTAGGATTGGTAACTGGAAATACCAGTGTATCTTGTGTTTATGACTTAAATTCTACTTGGTAACATCCAGTGTTTTTCCAAGATGTAAGTGCTTTTTAATAATGGTCATCTTGACTAAAATGATTTCTTCTGATTTTATCCTCTTCCTTTTTCTCAATTTCAGCCTGTCACACTAATTGATTCTATATGCCATCTCCCTTTCATTCTAAACAATCAAAGCCTAGTTATTTCTGTCTGTTTTTTCCTTCTGAAAGAATTGTACTTAGCTGTTAAATACCAAGAAAAATTATGTGCCACTGTAACCAGGACTAGAAAGCATGAAGATACAGCATCAGTTCAGTGTCTCATCATTCACCTGCCTTTTGTCCCTGATGACTGTTATCAAAACCCTAGGGTCAATCATGGCACTCAGGCCTATACATTTACCATCTCGTTAATCTTCTTCAAAAGCTCTGAGAGGTAGATATAATTCCTTATTACATACAGAATACATACAAAGAAATCAAGACTCAGATGTTATGCAATGTTCTCATGGTAGCAAGTAAGTGGCAACAAAGAATTGAAAGCCAAGGTTGCCTCACTCCAAAGCCTATATTGTGTTCATAATCACCATACTCTACTTATCAGTGTATGGGGGGGCCTTGAACTAGGAATTGGAAAACCTAAATTTAAGTCCTGATTTTATCAAATCCGACTTTGTGGTCTTGAGTAAATTTTTAAACCATTCTAAGCCTCAGCTCTCTGCTCCATAAAATTAATATAATATCCAAGAGCAGGATAAGAATGGAGTAAGGTTATGTAGGAAGAAAGTACTTTATAATTTCTAATATATTATGCAATTGTGCTACTTGTTTATTGTTGGTTCTTATTACCTATTTCCCACACTTGCCACAAAAAATACCATCTTAACTGATGACTGGGGTGAGAATAAAGCAATATGTATGTATCTTAATGGTAAGCTTAAAATGAAAGGTCAACTTTCATTGTCAGTGAAGGCAGCAGTTAAAACAAGAAAATACCACACATTTTAACCACACAGACTCTTCCAGTGATTTGTACCTAAAAGAAAAAAAAAGGTAAATAGGTTCTACATGCCTTCTTCAATTTTCCACTAAGAAAGGGACAGGAATAGGTAAGGACAGTACTGGTTACAAAGTGTGTTATGTTATCATCAAAGACTACCTCCATCCTGTCTGAAAGAGCAAGGAATGACACCACTTGCTTCATATGGCAAGTTGAAGGAGAAAGGAATTTGTAACTCCACGGCTGTTCCACCTCATCATATAAGCCAATAGGCTGTATGATCTTTCATCCCATCACTGCCATTAAGCAGTAAACTTTTGTAGGGAAGATCATAACCATAATAAATGTAGTTGACTCTAAAAAGCTCTGTTTGAGAAAGGATGGGAGAGGAGGGGAGGAGTAGGGAGGATAGGAAGGGCAGCAGAATAGAATAGACAATATGATTGATGTGTGTACATTCCATGTATGTATTTTATGTCAAAATGCATTCTACTGTCATGTATGACTAAAAAAATAAATAAAAATTTTAAAAAAAGAAAATGAAAATAAATATGTGAAGGAAGACATCTGCAAAAAAATAATAATAATAATAAGCTCTGTTTGGAATCCCTTAACAGGTTTCAGGGTAGGGATGACAGTTATTTAAAGGACTGCTGTATGTAGAAAAACCAATAAACAGGAAAACAGATTAAAATTACTTAC